GCCGAGCCCCAGCTATTGTGACCACTTGGGGAGTAAACCAGAGATAGAAGAGTGTCACTCTTTCAAATAAATAATCTTAAGGAAAAAAGATGGAATGGGAGGGCCCGGCACAGTAGCCCAGTGGCTAGTGTCCTCGCCTTGCACGCTCCAGGATCCCATACAGGCACTGGTTTGTGTCCGGCAGCCCCATTTCCCTTCCAGCTACCTGCTTGCGGCCTGGGAAAGCCTTGGGACCCTGCACCCACATAGGAGAACCAGAAGAGCTTCCTGGCTTCAGATCAGCTCAGCTCTGACCATTGTGGCCACTTGGGGAGGAATCAGCAGACAGAAGACGTTACTCTGTGTCTCTCCTCCTCTCTATATATCTGACTTTCCAATTAAAAAAATATAAATCTTAAAAAAAATATTAATAGGGCCGGCACACTAACTCAACTAGCTAATCCTTCCCCTGCAAGCATCAAGATCCCATATGGGCATTGGTTCATGTCCAGGCTGTTCCACTTCCCATCCAGCTCCCTGTCTGTGAGCTGGGAAATCAATGGAGGACTCTGCACCTGCGTGGAAGACCCAGAGGAAGTTCCTGGCTCCTGGTTTTGAACCGGCTCAGGCCCAGACATTGCAGCCATCTGGGGAATAAGCCAACTGATGGAAGATCTTTCTTGCTGTCTCTCCTCTCTATAAATCTGCCTTTCCAATGAAAATAAATTTTAAAAAACAAAACAAAATGAGAGATAAGATTTTTATGTTTTACTCTAAATATCTCTGCACTAAATAATTTAAAATAGTTAATAAGGATTATTTTCAATTTAAAAATGAGTGAGTTTCCAGGACTCACTTACTACCTCCCTCTCTACCTATCTTCTGAATCACCCCTGCTCAAAGCAATGTTTCCAGACTTCTCTTTATTCTGGAAACTTTTCTTCAGATTTCCTTCTGCAGTACTAACACTACCTTATCAAAACTCAAGTTTCCAATTCTCTGCAACAAAAAAATGCATCCAATAATCTTATCTTCCATACTTCCTCAGCCACTGGCCATGATACATACCCAAGAAACATCAGCCACTGAAATCAAGGCATTACTAGTGAAGCTTAAAACAGGTACCTGAATTTTCCCAATTTAACAAATGGAAGTTACCTGTAAATCGGAATGGCAGCAGAGCTTTTCATTGACAAGATTTTCCAGTGAGTTAATTCTTTTTAATCACACAATTCTTTCTGTACCACTGTATGTTACAGCAAAGGCTGGAACACTCTTTCTTGAAGGGTCGACGTGTGTGCGTGTGTGTGCGCGCGCGTGTGTGTGAGTGAGCCAGCCTGACTTTTTTCAAAATTCAATGAAGAATGAGACCAAACTGTAACTTCTGGAAATTATAACCCACAATATCAGATCCACCCACACAAAGAAAAATGATGAACACAGTCCAAAGTCCTTCCCAGCGTTTGTCACCAAATGTCATTCCAGCAATCCCAATGCCAAAACTCCTGCCACACAGGCGGGCCCTCAGCAAAGCTCCCTCCATGTGAAAAGCCCTCATTAAACCTTGTGTTATATTTAGAAAAAAAAATGGAACAGAAGCTATATTTAGATGAAACATCTTTAAAGCATTTTACCAAAAGCAGCATGTTTACTCTGAACTTCTACAAGGAAAGGTTTTCCTTAGCGTTTACGTACAAACCCTCAGCAGTCTCTTTACCCACATACAAAGCATTGCTACTGTGGCCCCTTTCTGTCTGCGTAACAGGAACACTCAGAGCATGGTTAAACTGTCCATGCTAAACCGTGGGCCACAAAGGACCTAAAATGAGCCTATGGAACAGTTGAAAGACACGAGCAACTTGTGCTGGTGGTGCAGGGCAGCAGCTGCTGGATCAGTACACTGACCCCAAATCAGACTCCCCAGGTGGCCATTCCTGGGGCCACTTCCTTCCTAAATGTCACCAGCACACTGCCATGGCAGTCCCAGCCGAACTCCTTTCTCTCACTCTGCAGTCAGCTTGCAGAACCACAGTCGGCGCTCTCTGGCTATCACCTTCCAGCTCATTCTGACCTCCAGTTTCTAATGTGCTCAATGACATCTTCCCGACAGAGCTCTACTCAGCGGCACAGAGTAGGTTTGGGAAACCCAGAAAGCCACGTGGTGAATGAATGGATGATTTCGTATGGTTCTGAGAAATGGTGAAAATGGCTAGTGGCAGCCCCTGCCCTCTGCTAAGGTCCCAGGGTCCCAGAGCAGATAAGCTACATGCAGCTGAAAAGCTTGGCACACACCCCAGGTTAAGGGGACCTCTTCTCTAAAGAGCCTCAGGAAGAAGCCACTTCCCAGCATCCCGGCCAAGACAGAGTAGAGGGCAAAGGTGATGCTGCAGGGGGAGGAGGTGGCCAGACTGTAGGACTGGCTGCCCCCAGCTGGGTCGGCAGAATTATACCAGTGGGTAAGGGTTTTGGGGTCTGCTGCCTGCTACTTGAAGGTCCTCTAACATTCAACCAACTTCACTTTTGCTTCTGCCTTGTTTTTTTCAGAAGGTGTCAAAGCAGCAGAGAACTGGGGTCACTTAACTTTACACCCCTTATAGCCCTTACAGCCAGCAACACCAAAGTTATGCAACTTAGAACTAAGATATCAAGAACAGACACTGGCTCACACATGCCTGGCACCTTTCCCCACTAAAAGCCCATTGGCTCCTGCCTTCCTCCTTCCCCCATCCCTTATCCAGCACATCATTTTACCAGACTGAGAAATCACAGAGGGCCACCTATCCTTCACCTGCAGGGAGACTAACCATTAACACAATCGCCCAGAGGTGACTTGTTAATCAGCTCAGCCCTGCAGTCCAAACCAGCACTCAGGTGTCTCCTTACTGGCCAGGATATCCTAGGGCACTGACCAGTTCGAAGGTTTCACTGCACCAAGCTAACCTCCTCAGTCCATCAACAACCAACCAGGTGGGCTGACAATACAGTACAGCCATGAGAGGTTAAAAAAAAAAAACACCAGGGAAACAAAACTTCCTTCCCAAAGAACAATTCACCGGCAGACAAGATTTGGTATGGGAGTAGGATGCTAAGTCCTTCAGAGAGTGGGTGGTGGGTATCCTGACTGGGTCAAAAGGTAGGACGGTGACATGGGTCAGAGCAAGGAGGAGCTGCACGGATGAGCGGCGATGTAGAAGAGTCGGCTTGCCCAAGTAGGGCTCCCAAATCCCACACAGGCCTGGATTTAATAACCAAGAATTCCCAATATCAGCAAGAATCAGCTTTAGGAAATTCCTAGGTTAAAAAACACAAAAGACAGTAGAAGGATGGGAGGAGGGGACACAGGCAGAAAGTCTGCTTCGTGTAGGCTCCTCGGTGACAGTTGATGCAATCCTGGTCCATGATGTGAACTTGAGCGCTGGAACAGCCTGCTTCGAAGGGAAGCAGTCAGTCACTCAGTGCCTTCCACACCACCAGCTCATAGTTCAGAGCTCAAACTCAGAAGGCAGCGCTTGCAGGTCCCTCTCTCTCCTCAAATCCTTCCCAATGGATTCCAGCGGCATGACCCTCCCCTGTAACCACTGCTACAGACTTATACTCTCCATCACCATTTGCAGGCAACAAGGCCAAAGCTGCCACAGCTTGCCTGGCTCAGCTTCTTGACACACCTTTTTTTTCTTTCACCAAGAATGAGACAATCCCATAGCCAGGTTTCCTGGCACAAGGACGCCCTCAAACCTCCGTGGGGTGCTCCAGAGCAGCAAGGCCAAGGTTATAAGGTCCATTTGGCTCCACTCCTGCTCCCTCCGGTAAAGAGCACACTGGCACACAGCCTGACAGTGAGAATGGCCCCAATAGAATCCAAAGAGCTGGCCACATCAATGCCAGCCAGAACGGTCCATTCCAGCCACTAGCGTTTCTTGAACTATGATCATGATTTGAAGGCAGCTACAGCATGAGGTGCGTTTATTCAGACCCTGCCTCTAAGAACCAGGCCTCCATATGTCCTCAACCAACAATGAAGTGGAAGACCCTGGAAAGCGAGCAGGGATGGGGAGGTGCGGACCCTGTGAGAGGATGCAGGGGCCCGACGCAGCCAAGTTCAGCCATCAACCCCAACACCTGGGCTGGAAGCTGGAAATAGGGTAGAGGCTCTGGGGACACAAAGGGCTCACCAGTCCCAGGCAGTGCCCCTCGCAACGCGGGGGGCGGGAGCGGAGTCCCAGAGAAGGGGGGCGCAGGAATCCGCCCTCATTTGCACGTCGTCTGGGGCCCCGGTCAATTTGCTTAATCACCGCTCTAAATGCCAGCGTGCAGCACACAATGCATGCCCATTAACAGGTTTAAAGTGTCCCAGCGCTCGCTTTAAATGAGAAAAGCCAGTAACAAAAGAAGGAAAAAGCCAAGTTCCTCAACTTGAAGAATGCCTCGGGTGGCCCTCAAGATCCTCAGGGCGGTTTGAAATCCAGAGCCCCGCAGAAAAGTTGAGGCCGGCCAGGGAGCGGGGGCCTGGGGGCGGGGAGCGGAGCTGTGAATAACCCGCCATCAGCACTGGGTTTCTTAGGAACCAGCTCCCAGCCGGTCCGCCAGCGCGAGGAAACCAGAGAGAGCCGATGCAACATTGCCAGCCTCAGCTCCCCTAGCTCCCTGCCCAACTGCCAAGGAGAGCCTATGAAGAAAAAACGAGACCCCCAGGAGCAGGCACACACACACACTCCCAAGTTCTGTGCTGCGGGCACAGACTTTTGGAAACCAGGGAAGATCCTAGAGGTAGACCCCTTGGCCACGGTCCACAGAACTGGAAAAGTTGCAAGAACTTTACTTTGCATCCAAGCAGCCGCCAACGCAGCCTCGCCCTCTCCTCCGCCGCCAGAGTCGGTTCAACTCCGCAAACAAGTTTTGCCCGCGACCGGTGCAGGAGGCCCCATCCCCCCAAGGCCCAGTCGGGCCGGGGGGCGCATCCTGCGGGTCGGTCCCGGGCCCCAGCCGCCCGTCCGCCCCGGCGCAGCTCCAAGGACGCTCACCGTGCGCGCTCCTCCCGGAGACAGGGGTCCGTTGGAGAGGTACGGGCTGCTCAGGTCCGGGATCATGAGGAAGGGGTACCCAGGGTACGGGGGGCCCTTAAAGAACGTGCCGTCCTGGGGCCTTCTCACTGCAAATGAGACCAAGACCGGGTGAGGCCCGGGCCCCCCGGACAGCGCCGCGATAGAGGACTCCGACGTCACCCCCTTCACGACCTCCTCCCCACGCGCGATCCCAGGAGTCCGAGGCGAGAGGGGCGCAGGGCAGGGAGCCGGGTCGCGTGGGCCGCACGAAACGAGGTGCGCAGCGCGGGCCGGGGGCCGGGGGCCGGGGGCCGGGGGGCAGAGCTGGCCGGCTGAGCACGTACCTTCGGCGAAATAGTCTCGCGGCTTCTGGAAAGCGTCCCGGACGGGCTGCGGGCGCCTCTCCGCCTGTGGAGGAGACACAAAGGCGAGGGCGGGTGAGCGGGAGCCGGGCCGGGGTCCCCCTCCTGCCGGGGGCTTGGGGGCTGGGTAGGGGTGGCGGCCGCGCGAAGTCGCCTCACCTCCGAGTCCGAGCTGCTGCTCTGGTTCTCAGACTCGTTGACCAAGGATGACTTGACTTCGTCCAGGTCCCGCTGCGCCGAGGCGCTGTCGCTGCTCGGCTCCTGCTCCTCGCCCCCCTCGTCCTGGAAGGGGATCAGCTCGTCGTTCGCCCCGAGGTCGTCTCCTCCGCCGGCCGCGCCAGCGCCCGAGCCGCTGCCTCCCCCGCCGCCGCTGCCGCCGCCGCCGCCGCCGCCACCGCCACCGCCGCCTCCACCGAGCTGGGGCATGGTGGGGCCGCGGGGCCGGGGCCGCCGCTTCTCGGAGCCCCTGGCCGCCCGCGCCCTGCCCGGCCCGGCCCGGCGCCCCTCCCTCCCGCTGGCCGGCCCGCTCGGCTCCGCTCGCCGCCGCAGCAACAAAGTTTGACAGGGCGTGGCCCCGCGGGAAGCGGGCCCGGCGCGGCCCGGCCGGGGCGGGGACCACTCGGCTCCGGTGTCTGCGGCAGCACCGAGCCTGGGGCTCCCCAACTCTCCCGCTGCCGCCGCCGCCGCCGCCTGGTCGGTCGGGGCGTCCCAGCGCCTGGCCCGCCGGGGAGGGGCGAGCAAGGGAAGGAGGGAGGGCCCGCGCGGCCGGGCAGGGGGGCCGGAGGGAGGAGCCCGGCTGCAAGCTGACACCCGCGCGCCCGCGGAGCCCGGAGAGCCGGGCGCGCTCACTCGGCGCTCCCCGCGCCCGGCTCGCTCGCACCTTCCGGGGGCTGCGCCCCCACGCCACCCCGCCCCGAGCCCCGCCGCCCCTGCCTCCGCCCCCTCACAGCTCACAACTTTCTTCCCAAGAACCCCCCAGAACTCTGCGCCTCGTCGCACCCCCTCGCGCCATCGCAGCGGCCGGCACTGCCCCCTGCGGGAAAGCCTGGGCCGCGCACGTCGGCCGCCCACGGTCCCACACAGCCCCGCGTACCTGAAATGCGGGACTCCGACGGCCTCCGCCATGCCGCCAGTCAGAGACGGCGGAGCAGGGGTCCTGAGGGATCTGCGGGGGTCCTGAGGGATCTGCGGGGTCCTGAGGGATCTGCGGCGTTCCCGAAATCCGCCCCTTTCTCCTCAGGAGGAGTCTCGACGCGCCCCTCGTTCCGGCCCAGGCTTTCCACAAGTCCAGGTGTCCATAGAGGGCCTCGACGCTTTTCTCCTCACTACCCGGGAATTGGGCTCCAAATTTGTATCATCGCTGTCCTGGCTTCAGAATGGATTTCGATTGCATTCGTTGCAAAGCCTGACTGGGAGGTCAGTGAATATAAGAAAAAGTCTCAAGTGGAGAAGTACTTGTTACAATGAATGACAGTAACATACCAAACTTCTGCAACCAGTTTCAATTTTAAAAACAAACAACAGCAACAAAAACCCTTCCCCCAGTGGGGATTGACTAAGGAAAGCAGCCTGGAACTGCCCGAAGCCCAGCTAGCTGGCAGAGGACTTTCCTACAAAGATTCCTGCGAATGGAGAGGAAGCCAGCCAGTCCGAGAGCCAAGCACCAGGGACACAGTCTTTGTTTTTCCTCCAAGAGAAAGGATGTGATACGTGGACCAGGAATGGTTTTGAAGAAAGACCTATAAGTGTAAGATATTATCTTTAACACTAACTAGATTAACATGGCCCCTGCGCAAGGATGACAACATGATTTGTTTTTGCATAGGAAAAATCTGAGAATTCACTTCTTTCTCATTCTGTTTATTTTAAAAGACAGAGTTTCAGAGAGAGAGATGGATATTCCATCCACTGGTTCACTCCCCCAATGACCACAACAGGCACAAGCCAGGAGCCAGAAGCTTCATCTGGGTTTCCCACAAGGGTACAGAGGCCCAAGCACTTAGGCCATCTTCTGTTGCCTTCTCCAGTGCCTCATGGAGCTGGATGGGAAGTGGAGCAGCTGGGACTCAAACCTGTGACCATATGAGATGCTGGTGAAGCACGTGGCAGCCTAACCCACTGTACCACAGTACTGGCCTGAGAGTTCAGTTCTTACCCATGAATATCTCTGGGAAAGAAGGTAAGTGTAAGGAGAGGGGCAGCATTCTTTTTGACTTTTGCATATATTATTAGTATTTAATTACAAGAAGCAGACATGCCTTTGGTGTTTTTTAGACCATATATGAAAATAACCTCATACAATACTTCCAAAAAGCATATATCATGAATATGTATGTATTTTGTTTGTTTCTTTAAGGAAGAGAACTGCCATCCGCAGGTTCATTTTCCAAATGCTCACACTAGCTGGGCTAGGGTTTGGGCTGAAGCCAGGAATTCACTCCAGGGCTCACAGGTGGCCAACTGGTACCCAGTTAGTTGAGCCATCCTCACTGCCTCCCATGGTTCCTATTAGTAAGAAGGTGAAATCGGGAGCCATCCATAGTCCACAGTGAAACCCAGGTACTCTAATATGGGATGCAGATGGTCTCCAAGTTAGGCCGAATATCTGTTCCCTTGAATTATATCTCTTTTTAAAATTGTTGTATTTTCCTTGCATTACAGACAAAAAGATAGAGATGCTTCAATTGCTGGTTCACTCCCCCCGAGGCTCACAACAGCAAACACTGGGCCAGGCAGAACCAGCAAGTCTGAGACCCTGAGTTACCCACACGGGTGACCAGGGCCCAGTCTCTTGGGCCATTAACCACTGCCTTTGCAAGCACATTAGCAGGGAGCTGGAAGGGAAGCAGAATATTCAGCAATGCGATGTAGGATGCAGTATCTTACTTCCTGTGCCACCACACCAGCCCCTGGAATGTCTTCCATCACATGTGTGAGGGACAGAATCCCATAATCAGGTTCATTAGCTGTAGAGATAGATGCTGTGATGCTGCAGGTAAACTGAGGGTTGGGATCCCCACATTCATTCCCGAATGCTGAGTGAGTCCCAGCTCCTCTGCCTCTGATGTAACCACGTGCTAACGCACCTGATGGGCAGCAGATGATGGACTAAGTGCTTGGACCCCGCCACCCCCAGGAAGACTTATATGGAGTTCTGGCTCCTGGCTTTAGCCTAGCCCAGCCAGCTGCTCCGGGTTACTTGGGGAGTGAACCAGAGACTGGAAGCGGTGTGTGTGCGTACCACTATGCCCTTTTAGATAGATAGACAGACTTTTATTTTAGAAAAAGAAAGAACAGCTCTCTCTGGAGGCGCCACAGGCAATGTGTCTAGCCTCCTTCCTCTCGCATCCTCTTCTCATTCCTTAACCTGTGGTCACATTCCTCCAATCCCTGGATCCGGGGTTAGGCTGCCGAATCTTGTCAGTGTCTCATCTCTCCTTTTGGAGTTGGTGTTGTTGTATATCATGTTAAGTTGCAGTCTGCAACACAGCAGCATCCTGGCTGCTTCCTTTCCCATCCAGCTCTCTGCTAATGCGCCTGGGAAAGCAGCAGAAGATACCTCAAGTGCTTGGACCCCTGCATCCACAAGGAAGACCCAAATAAGGCTCCTGGCTCCTGGCTTCAGGCCCAGCCCTAGCCATATTAACCATTTAGGGAGTAAACAAATAAATGTAAGCTTTCTCACTCTGTCTTTGTAACTCTACTTTTCAAATAACAAATCTTTTTAAAAACACACACACACATTTTTCATATTAGAAAGGACACTTGTTATGGCATTTGGGACTCACCCCACTAACCCTGCATAATCCACTGTGTCAAGGACCTTGATTTACTCACACCTTTTCTTAAACATCCGCAAGTTCGAGGCATGAGGTCATGGGCCTTTCTTTGTGAATGAGCCATTATCAGCCTACTACACCTGTCAACCTCAAAGAAATGCAAATGGAAACAGCACGGAGATGCCATTTTTTATCTATCTGATTGGCAGAGAGGCTAGAATGGTAACAGCCAGCCTTGGCTTCATGCTGAAAGGCACCTGTAGCTGCTGGGCATGCCATTATGTAATGTTGTTGAAGGGAATTCTGGCAATCCCTGGGAAAATCCTCTGAAAGTATAAATGTCGTGACTTGTCCACGGGCTCCTAAGAGTTTGTACTGTACAGCTGTACAAGTAGCCTGCGGAAGTGTGTTTATTCTCCTGAAAAGCTAACCACAACCTCTGGGTCCCCAAAGAGGAAATTGTGAAATAAACTTGTGGTGTATTTCTCCAATGTAATTGCTGAGACATTTTGGAAATGCATTCATCAATGTGGAAAGAAGCAAGTTAAAATTAAAATTAGCAAAGAGGGACAGGTGTGGTCCATGAAGGGAAGCCACCATTGACATGGCCTGCATCTCACATCCAAGTGTTGCATCTCTGCCTGTGATCCAGCTCCCTCCTGATATGCCCTGGAAGGCAGCCGATAATAGCTCAAGTGTCCCACCACCAGAGTAAGAAGTCCCAAGTTTTGAGAGATGTGTTGGTGACTCCCAGGGGAGACTCCCTGCTGCTGACACACAGAGCCTCTGGGGTACAAACATCTTGAGGTGTGGCAAAACTGGATTTGCTTTTTGCTTATGTCCTCCACTTCTTTAAACCCAGATCTAGTGGGAACCTGACCCCCGAAACATGCCACCAGCCTAGCAAGCGATGTGAACCGCACAGTGACACCATAAAGTGACAGTTGCTTGTCTAGATTCTGGATTTGTATTCTGATAACTGTCATTTTCATTTCATTCTCATGAAAGGCAGGTCAACTAATGAGGCAGTGTGCAGTAACAGGCTTAGTATGAAACGTCAGCCCTCTCCCCAAACTTACCCCATTCAGAACCCAAAATTTAAAACTGGGTGGGGCTCATTTGATGGCTTTCTAACCTTGATAGAACGTTGAAGAAGGTAGTTTGGACACTACTGGTAATGACCATCTCCCCTTATCCTGTCTATGCCTAAAATCCTGTATGGTTATTTATTAAAAGAATCATTAATAAAGCTGAATGTAATTTGTCTTGGGGAAAAAAATATCAAACAAAGATGACCACAACGATGCGGACTTGCTGATTTTTTTTTTGCTTTGTTTTGTTTTTAAATTTTATTTTATTTTTAACATTATTTACATAGTTGAGAGGGATGGAGACCCATGTTGGTCTCCAGTTAAGGTGGGAGGGTTGAGGTATTAAAGAAGGTGGGTAGAATAAATGCTTGGGGTGCAGGGGAAGGGGAAAGAGTAGGGAGGGAACCACTTCTTGCTGTCAAACTAAATCAGCACCCAGGGATGGAGAGACAAGGACCAGCTGGTTTGAAAGTAGAAATTGAGGAACCAAGAAACCAGAATGCATGCTCAGCATTGTGGGTTAGCAGCAAAGCTGCTACCTGCAATGCCAATGCTGGTTCCATTCTTGGCTGCTCTGGGTCCGATTCAGTTCCCTGCTAATATGGGGAAAAGCAAAGGAAGGTGTCATGAGTGTTTGAGTCCCTATAGCCACATGGGAAGCCTGGATGGAGCTCTAAGCTCCTGACTGGAGGCTGGCTCAGCCCTATTACAGCCACCTGAGGAGTAAGCTATCAGATGAAAGATCTCTCTCTCCTGCCTCTGTAACTGTGATTTAAAAAAAAAAAAATTATTCATTTATATTGGAAAGGCAGTTATACAGAGAGGAGGAGAGAAAAGAGAAAGATCTTCTGTCTCCTGGTTCACTCCCC